GTATGTATTTATGCATGTATGTATGTTTGTATGTATGTGTATGTATGTATGCATACATACATACATACATACATACATACATACATACATACATACATACACGCGCACACATTCACATGCAAGAACCGACCCCAGAACCATATCAATATTAGAAGACCCCTAAGTCGGGCCTCTTTGTGTGGGTCTTCCTGAACCCTAAAGCCAAAAAAATGCTCCCAAATCGCCAATCATGCCCGGATCTTCCGTACTTGCCCCTAGCCGAGGGAGCCGAAGTACCCAAAGGCCAAGCTTTGGGCTCGGATTTCAGGGTTTATGGCCGGTCCAAGTACCCAACGGGTAGGGTTCTGGATAAAAACTTGCCTCAGATCCTAGTCGTCGGGTGGCAAATAACAGCAGGCGCCGTTCAGAACAAGTCGCCCATCTTGCTCTTTGACAGTCGCGGCCAGCCTGTACCAGGTCCGTCAGCACCGTAAAACAAAAAGCAGGCGTGTTGTGCGGTCAGGGTTGAGAGGGTTCTCGCCGAAAAAGCTGTGGCCTTGAACCCTAAAACCCTAGACCCCTAAATCCTGAATAGATGTTCAGACTGCATGCGTTCGAAAGGCAACTCCAAACCGCAGAAACAGAAGCTGAAAACCTTGAGCCACACGCCCCCAAAACCAAAGCCCGTAATTTCAATCGAAACACTGCACACTATAAACCCACAGACTCAAAAAGTGGACCCTTAACCAACAACGTGAAAGTTGCACTTCTGAACCAGAAACCTACATCCTGAACCCTACCCTAAGCTGATACTATAAACCCTAAACCCGAAATCCTGGTAGCTCCCACAGATCACCATGACAGGCGCGCTCTTGGCGGCAAAAGCCTGGCCCATCTATCCTTTTGCTGCTGTGGATTGGGATCCCTGGTGTGTTCGCCGGGTTCTTTAGGGTTTAGGGCTTATTAGGGGTTTAGGGTTCAGGGTTTCTTAGAGGTTTAGGGTTTAGGGTGTAGGGTTCTTTCGGATTTGGGATGTAGGGTGTAGGGTTCTTTCGGATATTGGGTTCCTTTCAGAGTCCGGTTTAGGGTTTTATGAAGGGCTCTAGGGTTTTATGATTAGGGTCATCAGCGACTTTTGGGCTTACATGAGACTATGTGTTTAAACGGTTTAGGGTTTAGGGTTTAGGGTTTAGGGTTTAGGGTTTAGGGTTTAGGGTTAAGGGTACTGAGGCTGCAGGAACATGGGGTTTATTGGCCTCGGGTTGCAGGGTGCAGTGTTTGTTAGTTCGAGAACACAGGATCAAGACGGAGACCTGGATCTGTTCGTCAGTGATCCCCAGCAAACTTCGCCAGTTGAGATATTATACTTCGAGCGAGTGAATGATTCTGCTTTGGTGCAAGCCAGAAGTCCATTGGCCGGTTTCGATGCCACATATGTGAAGAACATTGTTGTGGCAGACTTCGATGCGGATGGAGCGATGGACGCCACTCAGCCTAGGTCCCACACTAGCGCCTTTTTGCGATTGTTTTTTGTTCTAAAGGGGGGCTGCATTTGGGGGAATATATGTTCATCATTTGTGTGTGTGTATATATATATATATACCAGGTACCCACACCTTTAGGACTACAATCGCTCAAGCACATGCTGTAAGCCTTAGACGCAAAAAGTCCCGGCACGCAGCTCCCGAAACCCTAAACCCTAAACCCTAAACCCTAAACCCTAAACCCTAAACCCTAAACCCAAACCTTGACCCTGAGACTCAAATAGCCCAAAAGCATTGCAAGCCCTTATAAGGGCCTCGAAACCTTAGAAATATGATCCCTTTCAGTCTTCCTGCTTAAACATCTTCACAGTCATAGGGGTAGTTCTTTAAATTAGGGTCCCTTTTAGGGTCCTTTTTATAAAGGTGCCGTAGTGTACTGGGACCCGAATATTTTAGAGAACTACCCATATGACCCTTATAGAGTTTCCCGTTTCAAAGCTTCCCTGAAATCCCAAACCTCAAGCCCTATAAACCTCAACTCTGACCGCAAGCCCTGTCATACACATTATACACCCTAAGCGACAAACCCTAAACCCTAGCCCCCCCTTGAAACCTTGAACTCTGAACCCTGAACCTCAACTCGAAACCTAAGCCCTAAATCTATAAGCCTTAAACCTAAAGGTTCTCTTCAGCAAGCATGTTCCGTATTTTTGCGAGCCTCCGCTGGTCGGCTTCCTGCATGGCACGGAGGATGGGAACTTCGAGGACCCCTTTATACGGGCAGCCTTAACCGAACCACCCTTTAAAGGGAGTTTCGGATTTCGGGTTCCGGGTTTAGGGCAGCCTTAAAGGAAGCCTTGTAGTATATAGGGCCTTAATAATCAAAAATAAGGTTTTGGAGGCCCATTACACTATAATTGTAATAGGACCCCTCCAAAAAAATAGTTAAGGCCCCTAGAGTTCACTTCAAAGGGGGGGGGGCTCGAAGGACCAGAGAAACGCAAGAGTTAAGGGTGCAGAGCTAAAGAACTGAGAAGGGCGTAGAGCTCATAGGGCTTGGGGGATTTTTTAGGGTTCAGGGTTTAGGGTTTAGGGTTTAGGGGTGCCCTTCCACTCTGTCTTCTGTATTTCCTTTTTTTCATGTAGAATCCTTCTGTGCCCTTTTTGAGGAAAGGGGGGGTTAGGGTTTAGGGTTTAGGGTTTAGGGTTTAGGGTTTAGGGTTTAAGGGACTGACACATCATGGCCACAGGACTGGAGTCAGGCTGGTCGTGCGAACCCTTTTCTTGGGATCGAAGGCCGGGATTGTCTGCTGTTTGAAGTCTGGGGTTTAGGGTTTAGGGTTTAGGGTTTAGGGGTTAGGGCCGCAAGTTCAGAATAAAGCACTAAACTAAACCCCCTTAAGCCCCAAACCCTAGACCCAACGCAGTTTTGAAAGTAACCCGTTGTCAGATCTCCCCGAAGCTGGACGCCAAAACCCAAGATGCTCTGGCCCCATGACCCTAAACCTCAAAACGCTAAAGCTCAGGACCCAGTGCCCCCAAGGCTCAAAAATAGCCCAAACGGCCCGTATACAGTCCCAAAAACCCTAAACCCTAAATGAAACGAAGAGACCTCAGAACTTGGGCTTAAGAGTCCATGTGCCCACATAATTAGTATCTAGTTTGACGACAAAGAGAACAGAAGGAAGCAGGCCGAAGCACATAAGGTTCAGGGTGTTGTAGGATTTTTGGTTTCCGGTTGAGGGTGTAGGGTCTAGGTGTTGTAGGACTTTTGGTTTTTGGGTTTGGGTTTGGGGTTTAGGTCTGAACGAAGTTGCTTGGACCCTTCGAGAATTGGCGGCAGTAGCTATGCCAAGATAAGAGGAGCACGGGTCAACCTGGCACAGAACTATCAGGGTTTGGGGCTTAGGGGTTCTTCTGGCTTAGGGCTGATATGTTGCGATTTAGGGTTTGGCTTTTCCGGAGTGCGGCTTTAGGTGTGGATTGTCGGGCTTAGTTAGAGCTGACGGATGCCGATGTAGGGTGTGCAGTCTAGGATTCAGCGAGTGGGCTCTCGGTTGACTCCAGATATCCCTCAGTTCGCTCCCGGGAAGGTTCCGAGTATGACGAATATGGCGAGATCTGCTGGGACTGGAGTGGCGCTGCATTGGCAGTCGTGGGCGGGAACTTGGGTCAGCAGGGGCTTTGGGTTTAGAGTTCAGAGATAAGGTGCAGGTTCCCGGGGTTCAGGCTTTAGGGTTTAGGCTTTAGGATTTGTTAGTCCTACCGAGGTGGCAAAAGCTAGGCTTTGGGTGCACGGCGTTGAGGCAGATGCAGGGACTTAGAGTTTGACCTCAGGACTTTGGCTTTGCGGTGACAGGGTAGCGGGTGTCAGGCGGTCAAGCGTGGGCACCCAACAGATCGGAACTTCAAGTGCAACTTCCCTGTGAAAGCTCCGAACCTCCACAGCTTGAACCACAAACCCCAGGCCCCAAAAGCCCAACGAACAGTCTGACAGCACTTCCACGGGAGCTACATTCAAGCGAGCAGACGGTTAGAAGGCCAAACGACCAAGTCCTTCAATTCACCTATGCCCCCCGAATTCAGTGAACCAGCTTTATGCTCAGGTCTCTACAACAGAGCAGCCACGCAAGCTAAAAAAACAATTACATTGGAGAGTCGAGGTAAACTCGAAACCAACCAGCTGCAGAATCCTCTGGGTGGTTGTCAAAATTATGGTCCCTTTTTGGGTCCTTTTTTTATAATACGGCACCTATTGTTTAGGGTACCCCAAAAGGGACCATAATTTTGACAACTACCCCTCTGGATGCCAAGGAACACGAATGGGTCGTTGGATCTGCTGGTCACGACGGGACAAATTCGGTGGCAGTGCCGGGTCTTCGTGTTCCCGGGACTGGATTCGGAGACCTTGCCCTGTTCCTGCGTAGATAGGTCGTACAGGCAATGGTGGACGTCGTGCCCGTTTTTGTATGCACAGCAGGGCATGTGGGGAAGCTTTCCGGTAAGTGGTCCCCACAATGCTAAACGCCTGGTTAGTGTATGATTTTGCAAGCTAGCCGTTTCAGTACTGCTTTGAAATGTTGGAAACATATCAACACCAAGTAAGTGCAGAGTTTGGCAGATATTTGTTGTGCTTGCATGGTGAATTGTTGTTCGGAGTGGTTTGGCAAAGGGCGAAGGGAATACTTTTGTGAGTTACCGGTACTGTCGAATCCACGGGCCTACATGGGGAAAGGCCTTCCGGGCACGACCAAGGCATAACTTCCGCAGTTGCATGTAGGAGGCTTCTTCAATCTTCGGACTGCGGTGTAGGAGGCCGTACTCGAAGCTCCAAACCTTCGACTGCCAAACTTGAACCCGACACCCAAACGGGAATCCTAAAGTGCCGCACTGGGGCGACTTATTGCTGCTGCCCGTCAAGTCGGCCTTGTTCTCAACCCAGTGAAATGCGAGCTCGCCACCTGCAGCAATGACGGGCTGGTGGACATGCAGTCCCCGTAGCTGTCAAGTTGAATCGCCCGGGAGCCTTAAGGCTCCTCGGAGCTTCTGTCGGCAATGCTGCATTTTGCGAAGCCCATGCTCAAACGAAGTGCGGAAGCGAGCGCCCCGCTCATCAGTCAACTCGGAGGCTCCCGAACAGGGGTGCCACCCCGCCCCTCTTGCCAACTTCGATGGTCAGGTTCGGGATTGCTTGTACGCGTGGCCTCTGACTGTACCAGTCTTCGCTGTCCACCCGGTCTAGAGGCCTGGACCTCCGCCAGCCATGCAAGACGCCACGGCCCTGCCGTCTATTTCGCCTCGATCGCTGCCACGGAACAGTTCGGGCTCTTCTTCAGCTTCTGCACACTGTACCGGCGCATGGCTTCACACCCGCCCTTGTGAGGCGCTTGGCTTGTACGTCGCGGCTCCTCTTTTCCGGGGTATGGTGCAGATTTGCCCGCCTTCGCTTGCCTGTATGGCAGCCGCTGAAGTTAATTGCCCACCTGTGATGGTGCAGCGGACAGCCTCGGCGACCATGCCCAGGTTTGGTCGAGGGCATCGCGTCAAGCGACACAGTGATGAGCTAGCCGGACTCAAGTGGAGAAGCCTGGCCTGCTCCCCCCCCACGCCCAGATGACGATGGGATACCCCGAGAGCCCAATACCCCTTAATTCAGGAATCTACCTTAAAATTTGGGGGGGGCTTTATATTATGATTTAAGATATATCCCTTAATTAAGGTGTATTGGGTTTTCTGGGTAACTGGCACGCTGGTACAGGGGAGACGCAAGCCAGCAGATGTCCCGGTAATGATGCAGCAGCACAAAGCGCCCCCACTCCTTTGCAGCAAAACGATCCCCATAAGGACCTGCAGGTCGACCCAGCCCGTTCCGTTTGTGCTGCCCTCCTGCGAGCTCTTCATCCAGCCTTCATAGTCAGACTGCCCGCGTGCATAGTTTGTTGAGGCTGTGTGTCACTGTGCACTACAGTAACTGCCATGTTACAATGTACAACCCTACCATACTTAGCAGCTTAGGCTGGTTTGCATCTGACTAAAGAGCCTGGACCAGAACCCTTGAATCTTGTTCCCCCAGCTATAGTCTTGGCAGTTCTTTGGTTTGAGGGTTCAAAGCGTTTTCGGGTTTGAGGGTTTCGACGCAGGTTCTCGTGGCACTTTACGAAGCAGCTGGTGGAGAGAAGCGGTGGATACACCCTCTTCCATATCAGCCGCAACAGGGCGCACCCTGTTGTTGCAGATTCTGGGTTTCTGTTAAGGGTTTAGGGGCTTGTGCTTTAGGGCTTAGGGTATAGAGTCATGGGTACCCTTTAACTAAGTAATGAGGAGACCCTATTATTTGCTTCCTGAAGCCCTAAATCCTGCAAGGCACCCTGAAAGATCTCTGAAAGGAACCCTTGTAGATCCCTTTGAAAGAACCTTCATAGATCCCTTAAAGGAATCCTGGTATCCCCATTATGGTAGCTGAAAGTAAGTTCCTAACAGCAACCCAGGATTGGGCCCTAAACCTTAAACCCTAAACCCTAAACCCTAAACCCTAAACCCTAAACCCTAGACCCTAGACCCTAAACCCTAAACCCTAAACCGTAAACCGTAAACCGTAAAACCCTAGTTCCTTAACAGCAACCCAGGATTGGGATGGAGATGGCAGTACGGACCTGATCCTCGGGTCAGAGTTCGGAGTCATCGAGGTGGCGGTGCCTTTTTTTTTTTGGGGGGGGGGCGGGGGTTGGGTTTAGGGTTTAGGGTTTAGGGTTTAGGGTTTAGGGTTTAGGGTTTAGGGTTTCGGGCAAATACAGGGCTTTTCGTGAGACCTGAACTCCGAACACGTGTACTTTGGATTAAGGCCGGGCTAGGTGGGATTGTAGAGGGATCATTCTATGTTGCTGCAAGCTTGCGCGTAAACACTCAAGGTGTCTGTGTGCAGTTTTGCAGCCCCACTGTAATCCCGGAACCCATCCTAACCTTACGAACCATGAGCCCCAACCCCTACCCCGGAACGCTGCACCGTAAAGCCGAAACTCTGAACAATAAACCCGAAACCCTGAACCCTAAACTCGATATTTGCCCAAACCCCGAAACCCGAAGCCCTAAACCTGAAACCCCAAACGGACCCCAAGTACGAGGTTTTTCCACGCCGAGTGGACGGCAGCTTGGGTGCGCCGGAAGAAATCCTCAAGCTGACGGACGGTTTGGCATGAGGGTTGTATGGTTATGTGGCATTTAAATGGGATTTATATGGCTCTTAAGGTCTTTTTTTATATGGGTATTATGATTTTATAGGGTTCAGGATTGAGGCTTTTCCTGATTTAAGGTTTGGCATTTCAGGGGTGCAGGGTCTACACAAGGTTTTTGGCTTCAGAATGACGAGGTTTAGGATTTGGGTTTCAAGGTGTATAGTTCTAAACCCTAAACCCTAAACCCTAAACCCTAAACCCTTAGCGTGTTCAGGGGTTAGGATGGTTAAGGTGTAGGGTTTAGAGTTTAAAGTTTAGGATGTCGGGGCGTGGTGCACCGGAGGATGTTCCCCATGCCCAGCCCGTCGTCGTTGATTTCAACAACGATTCTCTCAATGATATCCTGGTTGTTGATGGCACGTGGGAGGGAAGCGAGCTTCTCTATTTCGAGCGCCTGCCGAACGGAAGCTTGGAAGAGAGGTGGGAGTTGCAGACAATTGGGAAGTTTTGTCTGGAAGAACCACGTAGTAGGATCTTTATCACAAGGACCCCTAAACAAGGCAGCCCCAGTTTTACTGCAACAACGAGGTTCCGGCTGACACCCAATTGGAGACTCTGCTCCGCAGTAGCTGTCGCAGATTGGAACAAGGATGGCTATTTGGATGTCCTTCTGCCCTGCAGCAACAACACTGGGTCATCACTGTTGGTGTGGCAGTTCTTTCAGCAGCTTCCCAATGGCTCCTTCCAGCAGCGGACAGCGCCCATAGCTGATTTGCACGATGTCTCCAGTGGCCTCTATTCCGTGTTCCTTGGCTCACTTCTGAACGAAGTAAGCCTAAGTCGGAGATCCCAAAATCCAATCGATCCTCGATATCGTCGCCCTGACTCAGATTGTGTTGGAGCCGTTCAGGTCTACAGCTCAGGATTCGGCTACGAGATAAGCATCCTGCTCATATCAACACCTGAGACCCTAAACCCCAAACCCTGCACTGCTTTACTCGCCTGAACTGGCCCCGAAGCCAAGACTATCAGGTATTTGCAGGCGATCGATCTGAATTCGGACGGGGCGATGGACTTGCTGATGATGGACGGTTGGACTTGGCGGCCCTTCCTATCTCAGCCGGATGGCCAGTTGCTGGAAGCCCGTGCTCGATTTAGGAGTTCAGGGATGAGGCAAGGGTTGGGGGTTCTCGGAAAGCCCTACATGCTACAGGGGTTCCGGGGTTTTGGGTTTTAGTTCCGAAATGTTCGATGTTCGGCCAGGCGAAACGTCTTTGGGGTCCATGATTATAGCGTGCCGTTTCCCCAGTGCATCGTTTTAACCATTATTTTGAGGCCCGACCGCTCTGCAGGCTGACCTTCCTGTGGTTGCTGCCCCCCGGTCCCAGGTATATCACATAATCATCTAATCTACCCTAGACCCAAAACCCTAAACCCTAAACCCTGAACCCTAAACCCTAAATACACACTCCGCAAGCATCCTCTCCGGAAATATGCTTGGTTCAAGACATCTATCCAGAGAACCCAATACCCCTTAATTAAGGAATATACCTTAAATTATAGGGGCCTTAATAGTAGGATTTAAGGTATATTCCTTAATTAAGGGGTATTGGGTTCTCTAAACTGAGGAAGTGAATGTCAGTGAGGCGACTGATCTTGTCAGAGAGTTGCCAGAGCTTGACTATGGAGACACGAGGCTCCTTAGTTGTACCCTTTTGCCCTTTTTGTTGCATGCTTCCCTTACTACAGCCGAACAGTAGGAAAAAGGGCCTAAACCCATAAACCCTAAACCCTAAACCCCCAAACCCTAAACCCCCAAACCCTAAACCCCAAAACCCTAAACCCCCTAAACCCTAGGCCTTAAACCCTAAACCCCCCAACCTTTTACCCTAAACCCCCAAACCCTAAACCCCCAAACCCTAAACCCTGAAACCCCCTAACCCTAAAACCGCCTAAACCATAAACCCCGAAACCCTAAACCCTAAACCCCCAAACCCTAAACCCTAAAACCCTAAACCCCCAAACCCAAGCCGCCTAAACCCTAAACCCTAAAACCCTAAAACCTAGGACCAATTAAGAAGGAAACCGAAACCTAAACCCCCCAAAAATCTAAACCCTGAGCCCTAAACCCTATTAAAAAAAAAGCCCTAAACCTAGGACAGCTTTTTCTTGGCGGATTGGGACTCGGACGGCGACATGGACCTCTTGGCGGGTGCCCTGCAAGGAGAAGGAGGGCTCGGAGTTCGCCACTTCGACAACGGCGGCTCGGTTTCGGGTTGAGGGTCTAGGGTTTACGAGTTTTAGGGGTTTAGGGGTTTAGGGTTTAGGAGTTTAGGGTTTAGGGTTTCGGAGTTTAGGGTTTAGGAGGTTTAGGGGTTTAGGGTCTAGGGTTTTGGAGTTTAGGGTTTAGGAGTGTAGGGTTTAGGAGTTTAGGAGTTTAGGGTGTAGGGTTTAGGAGTTTAGGAGTTTAGAGTCTAGGGTTTAGGGTTTAGCGTAGAAGCTCTGCCAGTTTTATCACCATGAACCCCAAGCCCTAAACTCTAAACCCCAAAACGGTTGAAGTAAACATTACATTCCCCTAAAGAGAAGGTTCCGAAGCAAGCTCTGGGTCCTATACTCTTCGAGCCCCTGATCCCTACATGTTCAGCTAATTTTCAATTCTCAATACAGGGTTTAGGGTTGCTCATAGTGGGCTAGTATACTCAGGGGTGCTATAAGGGTTGGTTTCCATGTGGTCGTTCTATGAGGGTTAGAATGCTAAACCTTTACCCCTCAAGTCTGTAAATGTCCGTAATATAGGAGCCTTAAAAGTTAGGATCGGGGTTTGGGCGGGGTATGCCATACCAGAACCATACCCAGACTATAGGGGGTTGTCTTTACAAAATCTTCAGACCCTAAACCCTAAACCCTAAACCCGAAACAGGTTATTGTCGACTAGAGCAGCCCTGCACCGGCCGTGGTGCTTGTGGCCACTCCTCAGGCAAGTGCATGTGCTTCTTGGATGCTCAGTTTAGGGTTTAGGGTGCAGGGTTTGGGGTTTAGGGTTTACGGTAGGTAGCCTTTAGGATTTAGGGCTTACAGTGTACTAGATCCTCGCCATAAAATCGGGGTTGTTGCAGTAATTGACCCAAGTGTTGAACTTGCAAACCCTTTCCAAGCCCGTCCTAAACCCTAAACCCTAAACCGAAAGGGAGCGCAGTTTAACTTTTAAAGAAAGCCTAAACCAGGCTTCGCGGGGCACTCCCTCTCTGATTGTTCCGCGTGCAGCAAGGGATACCTGGATCCATCGAAGGTCAACGTTCCAAGGGGGCCTTGAGAATCATTTTCTTAGTATACCTGTACATCGCTTCATACTGTCGCTTAACATACATATTATCTTTATTGTAGTATGTGTATATTCGTGAACCTCCAAAACCCTGGCCCAATCATTCAGAGCACGATATTCTGGCCCGTCTGTTCTTATTGCAAGAACAATCCAGGTTGGAATCCCCGCCATAGAGCACATCAGGAAGTGTTTGGCCTGTCCGGGTCTGCCTGACACCTCGCCATGCTCTGGTCGCGGTTTCTGCAGTGACGATGTCTCAGCGAGAGGCGGATCTATGCGTGCCCAAACTGGGGATGCTCTGGGTTTCTGTGCCTTTTTGTTTGTCTAGTTTCGTTGTGGAAGCAACCCTTTGTAATTCTGGTTGTTAAGCGGTGATCATTTCCATGCGAGGCAAACATACGAACAATGGAACGCGCGCGACTGTCTATGGGGACGGCACTTGCAATTGCTCCGCCCCCTTCTCCGGCGAGATGTGTGAGGTGGGCCTGTGCCTGCCGGGCCAGAAGCCGCCCGACGCACACAATAACCATCACCACAAGACTAACTCGTCGTTGCGGTCGCTATACACTTTCAAACAAGTTTGAGCAAGAGCGCAGCAATCATCCATGCACGATGGTCGTACTGTTTCGCGGTAAGCAGCAAGAAGAAACGGGTTCCTCTTGCTCCCTGTAACGAAGATGTATATTCTTTTGTCAGCTGGACCCTGCTGTGGTGATTTAGCAGGGCTGCACGTCTAGATTGCCACGAGTGCTGTTGTTCTGCATGGTAAGAACAGCAGCACCAGCACCAGGCACCAGGCAC